TTAATTTCATTAATAATTAAAGAAATGTAAATTAAAACATGATTTTTATATAATTTATTAGCTTGGCAAAGATTAAAGATAACTGGATACCATTGATAGTGAAAGTTTGAGGAGATAAAATCTGAATTTAAGTGGGAGTATGAATTGGCACGTCCTTTTCAGAGAGCAGTTGGGAATCATTAAAATTTTAAATATGCATGCCTTTTAACTTAGCAATTCAGTTTCTAGGAACTTATCCTTTACAAGTGCTTACAGGTGTTACAAGTGACAAAAACACAGGACATTCATTGCAAGATTATTTGAAATGACAAAGATTGTAAACAACTCAAGTGTATAACATTGAAAAATTGGGTACGTAAAATTATTGTCAGTCTGTACAAAGAAATATTTTGCAATTATTAAAAAGCTGGAGAAAGTTCTATATATACTGACATGAAAATGTGTCCAAAATATATTGATACATTGCTTAATGAAAATGTATTTTAAAGAAGAGTATGATTTAATTTCCACTAGTAAAAATAAATGTAGACACAAATGCAATGTATATCATTGAAGAAGTCTAGAAGCATGTGAAGTATTAACGATGGTTAATTCTCAGTGATGGGATCCTGAGAAATTTCCAAGTCCATAAATCTCTATAATGTTTGAATTTTATGATAACCATATGTTACTTTAGTAATCAGAAAAAACCCAAAGATTTTTTTAAAGAAATAATAAATGTAACAGTAATTCCACAGACCAAGGCAGGTAGAGGGATTGGCGTGAAAAAAGGTGAAGTAGTTGGAAGGATAGAGTGAGGGGTCCTTTTGCCTGGAGTGTAAAGGAGGTGTTGAGGAGTCACTATTAATAATGTAGAAAAAGGGGCCCGGCCCTGTGGCCGAGTGGTCAAGTTCGCTTGCTCCCCTGCGGTGGTCCAGGGTTTTATCGGTTCGGATCCTGGGCGTGGACGTGGTGCCGCTCATCAAGCCATGCTGAGGCGGCGTCCCACGTGCCACAACTAGAAGGACCCACAACTAAAATATACAGCTATGTACTGGGGGGCTTTGGGGAGAAAAAGGAAAAATAAAGTCTTTAAAAATAATGTAGAAAATATGTTGATGGTTATATTGGAACTAGGCCTTAAATGTGAAACCAAGAAGTTTAGACTGACTTTGGTAGGCAGAGGGAAGTCATCTGAGACTTTTGAGCAAGAAAAGTGGCACGACCAGTTTTCTTTGAAGAAAATCAGTCTGGGAGTATTTGGTAGGTAGGTGGGAACAAACTGAAAATAGGAACACTAAGTAGAAGGCTGTTGAGGAGTAATGAGTATTGGCATGTGGTTGTAGGAATTAGAAAACAGACAGATATGAGAACCCATGTGTAGCTAAGGTAACCAAATATAGAGGCTGATGGTGAGGGATTTGACCGGGATGCTTCGTGTCAAAGCAGCTGGGGGAATGTTGGTGCCTTTAACAGAAATAAGGATCACAGGATGAAGATTTCAGTTGGGGGAGAATTTGCCCCAATCCACCTTTCCTCCTCAATTCCTCTAATAGCTGACTAGCACGTGAATGTACTCAGTAGAGTGATTGGATTTACCTAAGTTCGTACTATTTAAGCTACAGCTACACTTGTTCACCATTCTAGACTATGATGTGTGTTTCTGGAAGGACATGACTAATAGTGATGATATGATGGTGAAGATGATAGCAGCTATTGTTTATGTAACACTTAATCTGCCAACTTTTCACATGTCCAAAGTCACCTAGCTAATGAATCGAGCTGAGACTTGAATGGCAGTCTGTCTGAATCCAAGCCTGAATCTTTAACTGCTCTACTTGCTGTCTCTCAAGTAATTGGAAATGTGGATCTAGAGCTCAAATTAGACATGCACTCAAGTAAGTTATAATCTAGCTGCATGTCTAGTAATCATTTGTTTTGAGATTGAGCAATACTTTATTACTTATAATTGCATCCCGAACAATTAGCTTGGAGCATAGTAAAGCTATCTGTTTGACACCCTCTGGGAAATTAGTTTTGTGGATAACTGAGGTTAATGATTTAAATGTCAAAATTTATTTTTTAAAAGTTTAATTATTCTGCTTGATATCTTTCTAAACATATTATATTCATCTTATTTTTCTTGTTTTCTTCAATGTGTATTTATCGTTTTTATAATTAGAAAAATACTAAAAATGTATTTTATGCTCTCCTATTTTTCTAGAACAATATATCCTGAACATAATTTAATTTTCTCTTTCTGACTGTTATCATCGTGAGCATATTATTTTACTGGGTTTTATAATACAATGATCCTATCAAATATCTGAAGTGTGGGGGGCAGTTTATCTGTATCCTTATGTCTTCATGCTGTAGTATTTTGTCCATTCTGTCTTATTTTTTAAAGATAGTTTGTCGTATTTGTTGTGGGGGTCTTCTTTCTGTTCTCACTGTGCAGGCTTGTAGCAATTTTTTTGCCCTTTTGCTGCTGCTTAAATGTAATGGTTTAAGAAACGGGTTGGCCATTCATTTCAGTTTTATGTAAAATAAATATAATTAAGTTCTGGGTAGATGCTTGAGGACCATACCTGTGCCTGAAGCTCACTGAGCTTTATTTACTATGTGGACTTTGAGATAAACATCCTGAAGTTTTGTGTGCTCACTTCTTACTTCTTGGCTGCATAATAGGTGGGTGAAGCACTGTATTTGTTTTTAAGTGCCTTTAGAGAATATTGCTTTTTATTTTTTAAACTTATTCATGTAATGTAGAAATGGAGCTCTAAAGTACGGTTAATCATCATGTGACTAGATGAAGGTTTATTTCTCGGCTGTCAGTTTTTAATTCAGAATCCTTCCCTTGGCGCTGCCCCACGGCTGAGTGGTTAAGTCTACATGCTCCGCTTTGGCAGCCCTGGGTCCTGGGTGTGGACTGGCCCTGGGTTTCGCCAGTCTGGATCCTGGGTGTGGACGTGGCACCGCTCATCAAGCCATGCTGAAGTGGCGTCCCACATGCCACCACTAGAAGGACCCACAACTAAAAGAATACACAACTATGTACCTGGGGGCTTTGGGGAGAAAAAGGAAAAATAAAATCTTAAAAAAAAAAAGAAATCCTTCCCTTGACGTTGTCGGATAGATTCTGTTAGGTTGTAAATGTGGATTTTAAAAAATCATTAATAACTGATATGGATGGACATGGCTAAAAGATTTTGAAGAACCATATTAGAAATTTGGATAGATTGTACCAATTATAATTTTGTGAGCAACTGAAAAATTGTATAGGTTCAAAGTCTGAAAAAACATGTGATTAGATATGGAAAGATTTCGTAAAAGATTATCATCTTAAAAATTATGTAAGACTCCAATGATGACCTTTTCTGAGGATGCGGGTTGGTGCTCATATCCATCTTCAACTCTGGGCTTAACAGGGTCAGAAGCAAAAGGAGGGCTTCCTTGTTAGATGTCCACCTGCACTGTCTAGTGCGCTAGCCGTTAGCCACAGATGGCTTTCGAGCACTTGAAGTGGAGCTGGTCCAGATCAAGACTGTAAATGTAAAATATACTCTGGATCTTGAAGACTTAGTACTGAAAAAAGAATGGAAACAATGATTTTTATATTGATTGCATGTTGAAATGATAATATTTTAGATATATTGGGTTAAATAAAATCTATTAAAAATAAAAAAAATTAAAAAAATTATGTAAGAAATTATTGAAATCAGGACTTGCAAGTAAAGGTAAAATTCTATTTTAATGACTTAATGGAAAATTGGTATTATTTTATTGTTTGAACTGTGTTTAAAATGGAAGCTTATTGCTGCGGTTTAGTCAACTCCATCTTAGAGTAATCTCTTCATTCCATAAAATCTGCCCCCGTTAAGATCCCAGCATACATGTGTTCAGAGGGCTTAAATTCATTTTCATTTAATTTCTTGCCTCCTGTGCTGACAGATATTTATTAACATATGTGCTCTGTAAAGTATTTTGTTATAACATGGTTGAATCCATGGGGCCAGCCCCGTGGCCAAGTGGTTAAAGTCCTGTGCACTCCACTTTGGCAGCACGGGGTTCGCAGGTTCAGATCCTGGCTACTGACGTACTCCGCTCGTCAGCCGTACTGTGGAGGCATCCCACATACAAAGGAGAGGAAGATTGGCACAGATGTTAGCTCAGGGTGAATCTTCCTCACAAAAATAAAATAGTTGAATCCATATTTAATCATTTAATAAATATTTATGGAGGCCTTAATATATGCCAGGCACTTTCTGAGTGCTGGAGATACATCAGCTGAAACCACCCAGGATCTGTCTTTGGGAAACTTCCATTCTAGGGGGAGAGGCAGACTATGAAGAAACAAACTAATGTTTGCTCTGTCAGGTGGTGAAGTGTTGTGGAGATGAGTAAGAGAGACCATGTGGGGGTTGCTGCTCGGACATGGAAGTGCGGTGCTAAGTGAGACTGATATGATAATCGTCTTTGATAAATTTCATGAGGATATTTCTTAACACAACAGAAGGTTGATGTAGAAAACCTCCTATGTTTTAGAAAATGGAAAGTCAACGGCAAATTATGACTGGAGAAATATATCTTATAGAGCGTATGTGGTGATAAGAGAAAGAGTGTCTGCATTCAAAAACAAGGCTGTTAACTTTAAAATTACATTTGTGACTAACTAATAAAGTGGAAGTAACACACATGATTACTCCCTGATGTCTGCAGATATAACCTGTGCTGGCACGATAAAGATGGAATAGGATAGCTGTGTTTGGCTGATTTTGTTTCTTCCCTTTTCTTTCATTTTCTTTACTTTAATGGAAGAATCAGAGATTATTTTCAAAGCATAGATACAAATGTATTAATACTTTAAAGAAGATAAAAATGCGTATTTCTGTTTACCATTACAATTTTAGTCTTCAGTTTAAATATCTAATTTTTATGTTGTAATAATGATGTGTAAAAATTTTTCTCAAAGATTAATATTCTTTGTTTTCATATAAAACTATTTTCCCAACTATTTTCAGATGATATGCAGAATGTTCATAAGGAAGATAAATCTTTAAGTCTGAGTATGCCTGTAATTACAGAAGAGGAAGAGGAGAATGAAAGTAGTGAAACAGGTACAGATGAAATTTCCTCAAACTACTGAGGGAAAGTTCTGCTTGTAGAGCATCAGGGTTTAGAACCCTTGAAGAGCATGATGGTTGACTACACATGATGGTTGGTTTGGCATACTGGAGAATTTTAGTATAAATCATGCCGTTAATCGTGACACTTAAAAGTAAATACAATAAGTGAATGTATGTGGAGAAGCAGGGATTGGTCGAGGGGAGAGGTGAAGGGTAGGGAGAACTCCTGTTGTCAGTAAGTGACATCCCTACTCGAGAGGGCGTCTTGTCTGCAGTGTATTCCTAACAAAGGGCAGGGTTCACAAAATGTGAATTTCTGGATATGAAAAAGAAGATTTTACTGTTAAAAAGTACTTATTTCTAGTAAATGGAAATTTTTCACCTATGAAGTGACAGTTGTAACTAAATAGTGGTATATTGCACAATATGAGTTAAAATAGCTATACTTTTAGCATTGTGTTTTTCATAATTTGTAGTATTAAACAATAAATAACTGTTATCTCCAGTAATAATTACAGTATTGCAGAGAATGTTATAGTTAGCAGGCTAGGCTTGTTAATTGTTGATGATAATGAATATAATGTGTGTTAAGAATGCTGCCTAATTGCTTTTTTGTCATTTTGGCTCAGTATTCACTCTGCAAGCATTTACTTAGTGCCTGTTGTGTTCGGGCACTCAGCTAGGTACAGGGATTTAAAGATATATATACTATAAGAATTTAAGGACTATTTTATTTTGATCTCAGGGATTGAAGATCTGAGCACAGTGACTGGCCATAGGGGACCTAAGTAAACGTTGGTTGAGTGAGACAGATCAGTCTGTGCCCCTGAGGACCTTTCATTTAGTGTGGGAGAGAGACAACTAAAGTACGTTACAGTAAAGAGAAACAGGGTGCTATACAAGCATATAGAAGACAACGGACAGTTCAAGGGCGTATTTGTTCCTTCAGAAGTCTGAGAGCTTCTGTGGTTGGCTAATGTCAGCATAAAACAGTCCTTTACGATCTTTAGAGTTTCAGTGTATTTTCTCTCCAGTCTTGATTGGTGGCTTTTATTGTGAGTCAGCGATTAATAACACACACACACACACACACACACACGTCTTTACGGCCACCTGGCAAGTCCCATTCCAAAATCTATCAGCTTGTGATTTTTACAAGTTTGTTTTTCACCAGTGATTACATATGGACAAATATAACAACTCAAATAATTTTGTAATACTCATTATAAGAAACCACAGTCTTCTGACTCTGACTCCCATTTCACTCAGAGACAACCACTTTTAACTCTTTACTAATTATTTTAGTAGTTACTGCCACGTCTCTAAATAACATACTTATATTGCCACTTCTTCATGTTTTAGTTCTCTATGTTATCTATTGACTTCCACTGAGGAAGGTGAGGGCTCAGTTATCTTTACTATATTCTTCACCTCCCACCCCAAACACATGTATATTTCTCACCTCCACCCTCCCAAAATAATTATTATGCTAGTTAGATTAGTATTCGTATTTTAGTATATATCAGTATAGACTAGTATTAGATTAGTATTCAGCAGTTACAAAACATTGACAGGGCCATGAAATGATTCTTACCTAATCAATATATTTATTGTTTTCCCTAGAGAATTAATAACTTCTTTTTCACCTTCTTAGTTAATTCCTTTTTTCTGTGTATCACTCATTTACCCCCAAAGTTGTCCTGCCTTGTGTGAATCTCCTCTTGGTACATTCAGACATGTTGGCATTTCGTCAGTTTTGTCAGCCTCCCCGTCCCCACCCACTGCCCCCCCGCCCCTCCCTCCAGGCCGCCTGCCCCAGCCTGTGCCTCTGTCCCGCCCGCCACTCTTCTGAGAGTCTGTTTCCTTTTTCTTCTTAATTTTTCCCTTGTCTTTTCTTGTTCATTTTACTGTCACTCTCTCTTCTTTTTCATTGGTAGGGAATGTTTCTGTTCTTTACATCTTTCATAATTTTTGTGTTTTTGTATCTTCTGTAATTTTCTTTGTTTTTAATGATCAGTAACTTTTAGGTTCCCAACTGTTTCTAGATGGACACTTAATTGAGTTTTGGTTATGGCATCTGCTGTGGTAGCCAAAAAAATGTATGGTATAGTGTTTTGGGTTACATTTCAGGTTTAATTGAAATTGAAACCTTAGTTACTTTCTCTCTCTCAGCACTGGTCAAGAGACCTTTCAGATCTGGCATGTGGAGTCCATGCTAGATATAGGGTGGGCAAACCGACAGAAACAACTTCAGAGTAGCTTATTTTTTTTAAGTAGGATTCAGGATGACTAGGATGTACATTAGTAAATTTTCAACTGCAATATCATTTTGAGGAAAAAAGTCGTGTGTATGTCAGGTTGAAGGCTTCTTGTTGAATCTTTGCTCTGCGGGTGTTATTACTGTCAGACCAGTTAGACATCTGTGTAGTTTAAATGTGTCTTATCAATTAAGTATTATTTTTTTAGACCTGACAGACTTCTTAATTTTGTCTTTAGAGTTCACTGCACTGAAGAGGAAAAGAAAACACAGAACAAAGAGCTTGGTGTCTAGATCTTAATTTTGAACTTTCTGATGGAAGAAAAGATTTATTTGTGTATTGCACAGGAAGACTTCCAGTATTAAAAATAATTCTTCTGGGGCGCCAGCCCAGTGGCACAGCAGTTAAGTGCGCATGTTCCGCTTCAGCGGCCCAGGGTTCGCCGGTTTGGATCCCGAGTGTGGACATGGCACTGCTTGGTAAGCCATGCTGTGGTAGGCGTCCCACATATAAAGTAGAGGAAGATGGGCACGGATGTGAGCTCAGGGCCAGTCTTCCTCAGCAAAAAGAGGAGGATTGGCAGCAGATGTTAGCTCAAGGCTAATCTTCCTCAAAAAAAAGATAATTCTTTGGGAAAACGTAGTTTGTTTCTTTGAAATGGCAATACTTGAATACAGTTCTGGAATAAAAGTACAAAAATTAGAGTAAGACTTTACTCCAGAATTTAATTTTAATATTTTCTTGTATGAAATCTGCATAAATGAAGATAAGATTTGGATTTAGAATATAATAGAAATGGTCCTGTTATTTGCAGATTATTGTTATTTCTTACCACTTTTTGTGGTATTTTACTGTCTTAGTACAGTTCTGTAATATTAACTATTCTATTTAAAATCTTTTTTCGTGAAATATTAATGTTTATGAATACATGTTTATAAATTACATGTAATATTTATTACATGTAAATGTAAATATTAATGTTTATTACATGTCATTTGTATCTACAGTCTGGTAATGAATTTGTGTATGATGTATATTAGCTATTTTATGTATTATATGGTTAAATGCAAGGAAGTTTTTGCCTTATTTGCTTTATTTTTTAACGTATGAAAGTTGCATAATCAGTAACTTATGTGATTGGTAACTTACGAAGCTGAGTTTCTACTTCTGCAGTCAATTCAATATGCTTTAGTGCTTGTTTTAAAGCTCCCCTTGGTCTAACATTTATATGCGCATACATGTATGTTCGTGTATGTATGGCTATATGTATGTACGTGTATACACACACACACATATGATCGGATTAGTCAATACATTGTTCAGGTACATTTAAATACTGATTCATTCTTTTCTTTTCTTTCTTTTTCTCCCCAAAGCACCCCGGTACGTAGTTGTATATTCTAGTCATGAGTGCCTCTGGTTCTGCTATGTGGGACACCACCTCAGCAGTGCCATGTCTGTGCCCAAGATCCGAACCGGCGAAACCCTAGGCCACCGAAGTGGAGCGCGTGAACTTAACCACTCAGCCACGAGGCTGGCCCCTCATTATTTCTAATAAAACCTTTAAGAGTGGTAATGTAAATTCCAGAATGTGTCTATAGTACAGAATAGTTGGTACTTACAGAAAAAAATTCTGTAGCTTCATGAATATGCCTCTCTGTTAATTTCTCATTCAAGATGTTTAAGTGGAGATTGCTTAAGCCTGTTGTTTGAATTGCTGCCAATAGCAGACCATCTCCATATCATGTGGCTGGCTCACCCTGTCTTATAGTTGATTATATTCCATGTTGTTTTCCAGCATTGTATATTTCAGGAATTCTGCAAATGTTCTATGAGAGAAAATATGTGATGTCTATAATCTTTTTAAATCAAAATACTAATACTAGCCTAGATAAAATTTTCATTTATTAGAATTTATGCTTTCACATTAGCTATTAAACAAAATTGTTTCCCTTGACTGCCTTCAGATGTTTCTGGAAATAAATGGGGCAGTTTTCATCACATGGACATTGGGCAGAGCCTGGATGTAAATACTCGGGTGGGGCATTCAGAGGCCTGGATCCACTATTAGCTACTTCTATGCCAGATTCTTTGCTAGAATTTGATGAATAAAATGTACAAATCTTGTACGGATAACACAGTGAGTTGCCCTCTCTTTTTTGGCAACAGTGCTTTTAAAATACGAGGTATCATTTCACTTGTACAGTGAAGAAACTGCCTCAGGATGGTAGGTGCCTTGCCCACAATCACACAGTTGCTGAGCTACGCATCTGGGATTCAAATCCAAGGCACTCTCCTACAATTTCAGTGTCATTTTGTATAAGCCCACAGAAACGGAAATCCAGAGGGGTACTTTTGACTGCAAGCAGTAAAAGCCCACTTCACAATGGCTTAAACAATAAGGAAAGTCTAATTTAAAACCAGTTGAGTCTTGGGGCCGGCCCAGTGCCGTGGTGGTTAAGTTTGTGTGTTCCGCTTTGGTGGCCCGGGGTTTGTAGGTTCGGATCCCAGGCGCAGACTTAGGCACACCACTCATCAAGCCATGCTGTGAGCGTCCCACATACAAAACAGGGGAAGACTGGCATGGATGTTAGCTCAGGGACAATCTTCCTCACCAAAAAAACACCAGCAGTTGAGTCTCAATGCGGGCTGGCTCTGGGCTGTTTAGTGCATCAGTTCCATGACGGCTTCATCCACCCAGGATTGGGTCTTCAGGGCAAGCTTCCTCTCAGTGCAGGGAACTGTTCACCAGCCAAGTTCCTTGCCGAGGGCCACCCTGCAGGCACGCCTTTCTAAGGATGGCAGTCTCAGGCCTCCATGTTGCCTCTTGCACAGGCTCATTTTCACTATTTCAGACAGTGCTGCATTGAGCTTTGTGTGTAAATCCTGGCTCACTTATATTGGTATTTCTGTTGGATAAATCTACATGTGGATTTGCTTGTCAAACTGTGTATATATAAAATTTTGTTAATTATTGCCAGATTGAACGCCAAAAAGACTGCCAGTTTACATTCCTACTAAGTATTTGTGAGGGAATTTTTGTAATTGTTCAGTTGAATATAGCCTGAATCTTATCAGCCAAAAATGTAGAAAGAGAAGTAACATAATTGGACGAAGCAATGTGTGTGGTTACATGGTTACATGGTCCCATGGGGCAGATGCGGCGCTGCCGCTGGGAGCAGGTTTGTCAGGAACGTGTTGTTTTTGTTTTTTTGGTTTTTTTGAGGAAGATTATCCCTGTGCTAACGTATGCCACCAATCCTCCTCTTTTTGCTGAGGAAGACTGGCCCTGAGGTAACATCCGTGCCCATCTTCCTCTATTTTCTATGTGGGATGCCTGCCACAGCATGGTTGACAAGTGGTGCATAGGTTCGTACCTGGGATCTGAACCGGTGAACCCGGGGCTGCTAAAATGGAGCGTACAAACTTAACCACTGCACAACCAGGCCGGCCCCATGAACGTGTTTTGAAGATAGTGTGAAGCACTTGATAGATTTGCTTTCAATGTGAAATTGAAGCTTATTAAACAGTTCAGATAGAAAATATTTATGTTTAACAGTGGTTTTCCAGAATTAAAATGTGGTATCCAAATACTGGTTACCTATTACAGTAAGCTGTTTGTGTTGTCAACTGGATTATAATAAAATAACTGCACCGAGTCATAAATGCAGGATTTTAATATTAAATATTTACTAAATTAATGTTTTGTGGAGGAGGAGGGGTCATAACAGTATTCATAAACAAGCTATATTTTAAAACCATACCACTTTCAGAAATCTTAATATGTGAAAGTATTGTTCAAACTAGGAAATTGGAATTATAGTAGTTTTAATATTATATGCCAGGTTTACTTGGTGTATCTAAAAAACAAACAATGAATAAAAGAAGTGGAACCATAAAGAAAATTGAGCTTGTATGGATGCTTATTAGAACAATATTTTTCACTTTGAAAAAAAGTATTGTAATTTATTTCTTCATAAGAAATTGCCCTGGAAATGTGCAGTTCTCCATGAGACATCTTAGTGTGCTGTCCGTTTGCTTTGCTGGTGTGTTAGGGGGTTATGTTGTTGTAAGCTCACCTAAGATCCATCTGGGTTTATAACCCCATTCTCTTAATGCCCCAAAGGTTTCCTAACTGAGGGGGTGTATTTAATGTGGGGGACATTCCCAGTCTCTGTACACCCAATTATAGTGTTTGTTCCCGGAAACAGACACAGTTGTACCGTCTGCAAGGTATTTTCTACCAAAGGAGAAATAATGAACCAACTTTTAGGCAAAGACTTTGTCTTCTACAGGTTTTCCAGAACAGTGATATCATAGGGAAATGCATTAGAAACTTTATCCAGATAGTTTGAATACTTGTAGTTGTCTGACCTGGCAACTAGAAAGTCAAAAATTTGTATCCTAGTTCTGCCACTGATTCATTGTGTATCCTTAAAAAGGTTTGTTTAAATCCTTTTCTTAGCTGTGAATTCAAGATAATACAGATCTATTTTACTGTCAAAAATATTAAGAACTGCGTACTGCTTTGAAAATGCCAAGATATGAATGCTAAACTTCAAAATAATTACAACTGGAAAGCGTAAGCTTTTAAAAAGTACTTGGACGCTGAGGAAATGAAAGTGATTCTTAGTGCGTAATGTAGTGATTTTTCAGATGGTTTTTTTAGGTCTAATAATCGAGAGATCATGTGTTCACACAGCCTCAGATGCCGGCAGGCAGCTCCTCGGGCTCCATCACAACTGAAGGAGCCTGGCTTCCCCTTCTCAGGTCTGGTGAGGTACACCATAGATCTTCCTCAGAACTAAGAGATTCACAGAGTCAGAGACAGACAGAATACCTTTAATTGAGGGAGGTATCTTTAAAAATGAACATTATGACTTGAAAATTAGTTTTGCTTTGACGTAAAGAGCCAAGGAAAATAAGCAGAGTCATTAGTACCTTCCCACCTTACCCTTGATTCTTGTATTAAATTACAGTTTGAAGAGTGCCTTCTTTTTAAACAGCCTTGAGAGGACTCTGAGCTAGTCACATTTTCATTTGTCTTTTGAACAACTATGTGGTAATTTTCATTGCACATTTTAAAAATTCTCTGTATTAAAGTAAATGCCAGAGCCCCTCCGGTACATAGTTGTATATTTTTTAGTTGTGGGTCCTAGTTGTGGCATGTGGGACGCCGTCTCAGCATGGCCTGATGAGTGGTGCCGTGTCTGCGCCCAGGATCCAAACCGGTGAAACCCTGAGCCACCAAAGCAGAGTGTCAACTTAACCACTCGTCCATGGGGCTGGCCCCTGGATACCCCCTTTTTATGTGGTATTTTTTTATACCTGAATTATTTGGTTTATTATGCTGTATGTTGCAGGTCTGGATTTTTTAAAGATAAGTTTGGACAGGCTCCTTTAGGTTGCAAGGAACAGAGGACATTCACCTTATCTTCAATGCTGGAGGCTTATTTTAAGAATACAGAGGACAGTAGGT